TAATAGGACAGAGACTTAATTGCTATAACAGCAACCTAAAATAAACACATATAAAAAGTAGGTGTTTCTATCCCATGTGAAAGCCAGACCCTCACTCTGCTATGAATTTGCCAGAATCCCAGGCTATGGGTCCTGCTATCCCTAGCATATTGCCATCATCTGCATGGTCCAAAATGGCTAATCACGTTAGTCATTTATTTTTTAATTAATTTATGTATTTATTTATTCTAATTTGTTATATAGGACAGTAGAATGCATTTCAATTTATAGTACACACAGAGAACAATTTTTCATGTCATGGTTTCATGTCTACTTTGTGTATAACAAAGTAGAGTCACACTATTCCTGTCTTCATACGTATACCTAGGGTAATGATGTCCATCTCATTCCACCATTTTTCCTACCTCTCTGCCCCCTCCCTTCCCTTTCCCTCCCCTTTGGCCTCTCATGCCCCCCACCATCCCATCCCCATTATGGATCAGCATCCTCATTATCAGAGAAAACATCTGGCATTTGTTTTTTTGGGACTGGCTTACTTCACTTAGCATAATATTCCTCAACTCCATCCATTTACCTGCAAAGGCCATGATTTTATTCTCTTTTAATGCTGAGTACTATTCCATTGTGGCCCTTTTCCTTTAAGGTTAATAGGTACATCCTACCCTTCAGAACACAGTCACAGCCACACCCAGAATCACAGAGATAAATGTTTCATTCTGTGCAGCCATGTATCCAGGTGAAAACTAGGGGTTCCTTTAACACAAAAGGGGAGAACAAATATTGAGGGGATGAGACAAGTAGTTGTCTCCACCCAACAAAACCCTAACATTTTTCAAATCTCTCCCCTCTGTTTTATCCTGCTTCCTGCCTCAGTCTCTGAGATTTTGTGTTTAGTTGGGTTCCTTTAGAGTAGCCAAATCTCTACCCTAATAAAAATTATAGAAACCACAGGAGAGGGCTAAGATGGGGGGGACTAAAGGAGATGTGAGGATTTATTAATCTTCCAGTTCATTTCCTTGGCACCAACTCCCTCTTCCAATTCATCCTTCACATTGCAAGTTGAATGAGACTCTCAAGATCAGAACCAAGCACATTACCTTTCTGTCCTACTGTGCCTCGACTCCAAAGTGTCTGCAGGTTCTCTTTTACTGTCTCCTCCCATTGCATAGGTAGAAATTCTCTTCTTTGCCTTCGCAGGGTTGTGTGTTTTATCTCTGTTGTATTCTTCGGCATAGTAAATCTCTGGCCCATAGTAGGTATTCAAAATGTATTTATTGACTGACTTCCCTTGTCCAGATCATTCATGTCTCTCTCTCTGAATGTCCCTGTACCTGCTAGATTCCCCCTGAAAGACTCAAATCCACCCAGGAAGGGTTGACCATCATCAGATGAGAAACCCCAGTCAGAGGACCTTCCTTTTAATTCCTTAGAACGGGAGTGCTCTCCTCTGATCACATGACCAATTGAGCCCTGTTCATCATTCTTCAGAGGGAGTCCCGTGACCACAGGAGACCTGGTCTTAGTTGCATGGAACATATTATATTTTAAACGGGTTCACAGTTTATCTGGGCATCCATCGGCAGTCTTGGAACATAATCTCCTACAAATAAGGGAGAACCCTAAACTAATGGCAGATTGCAAAGATATCAGTAAAAGATTTAAGCAAGTAACTAAAATATTGACTAATAGAGGCTTAACAAATAGGTTTATTAGGTTATACCTTATGACTTAGTAGTTTATTAAGTTATTAAGTAATTACTAAGTAGTTTACTAAGTTACTGAGTAGTTACTAACTAGTTTACAAAGTACTAAGATAAAACCTAATAAATGAAGTATTTGGCTTTTAATCAAAGTATTAAAAGATAATTAAGGTATTAGAGATAATCAAATATTAACTACTCAAGTATTAGCTGATAGTCAAGGGATTAATTTAAAACCAAGATGTTAGCAGATACTAGTTAACCAATGACTAAGGTGATAGTTGGTAAGAACTCAGAGTGACAATTTTTAGGCGATCCTAGCATGTGTTAGGAGGGATATGCAAGTAGCAGAAAGCTGGAAAAGTCTATCGGAATGATTGGAAATAAGAATCCTCTGTTGGACTCTTAAGTTTCTAGGGAAGTGGTTTGCTTATCATTGATTTCCAGATAGGCTCCAGTCAGAGACAGGTATGGTGCTGGTGCTCAAAATGCTTACCATATAATTCAGTTTACTCTGCTAGGGCCAGGTACTGTGCAGAGGGAGGGAAAGGAGGGTACTTGCTTCAACAGTGAAATCAGAGAGTGGCAATTAAATGAGTAAGTAAATGAGAAAGTCAACACACTTGCTAGGTATGTGGTTCTGAGATACCCATCACAATGATATACGAAAGCAAAGTTTAGGGATGTAAAGGCTGGGTGGAAGGGGAGGCAGGTATGTCAGGCCAAGGAGATGAGTTTAGTTCTTCACTGTTGAATTGAGGTGTCTTTATAGATGCCCAGTAGACAGGTGGATACAGGTTCAGCATAGGTATAACAGCTGTGTGTTATCCGGGCATAGATGGTGGTCAAAAGCATGAGGAAAAAATGAGGTGGCTGCAGCAGAAGAACATATTGAGTAAGAAAAGAGGCTCTAGGCCTCAAGAAAAACCAACAGAGAAGGGGTGAATAGAGAAGGAAGAGATGTCAATGCACACCAAGAAGAACGGAAAACTCAGAGACATAAGGGGAAATTAAGAGAAGATAGTGTCAGAAAAGCTTAGAGAAAAGAATGTGTCAAAGAGAAGAGCTTTGTCAGCGGTGTCCCATGTGGCTGAGAGTTTAGGTAGAATATCAGAGAGATGTTCATTGGATTCACAATTGGGAGCTAAGAGATGGCTTTGGTGAAGGGAGTGAAAGAAGGCATAAATATAGATGCCAGAGAGAGTGCGTATAGATGGAGGAAGATAGCTCAGTGGCATGTAGTTCTGAGATACCCATCACAAAAACTTCTGTGATAGTTGGGTTTCATTGTTTGTGTGCACATGAGCATGTGCAGAACTGGAGCTTGGAGCAGGGTTTACCATAGCAAGGCTTGTGTTCAACTCACAGGGAGCCTTCAATCTACTCTGGGAAGCTTTTGATAAGGACCATTAAGGGAGACTGTGAGAACTGTCGGTACAGTTTGATACTTTGGTTGTCCAGTGGGAAAATGAAGCATAGTAGAGATGAAACAATTTGCTGTCTGTGAGTCAGGGGCACCGCTTGGACTTGAATCTGAATCTCTAGATTTTGAAAAGGCTGCTTGGAAGGTGAATTATGGACCAATGACTTTGCCCTTCACCACAGTATTTACCTGCCACATTTACATTTATGTAAAAATAAAGTATATATTTTATGCACAAAATGCAGACATTAAAGAAATATTTTAAGAAAATGACCCTATTATCTCACTCCCACCTCCCTCATAGGCAACCACCATTCAGTTTAGTCTATATTCTTCTCTCTCACTTAACATTTAATAAAAATATTATATTTATTCATATTGTTTTTGTATATATTTGTGCATGTGTTCATTCTGTTTTACAACTTGCCTTTTTTTCTCTTTTGGACAACTTTCTATGGTAGCTTATACAGATCTAACCCCATTCATTTCTTTTTCTTTTTCTTTCTTTCTTTTTTTTTTTTTTTTACCAGGGATTGAACTCAGGGGTACTTGACCACTGAGCCACATCCCCAGCCCTATTTTGCATTTTAGAGACAGGGTCTTACTGAGTTGCTTAGCAAGTCTTGCATTTTTCTTTTATATATATATATATATATATATATATTGTAGTTATATTGTAGTTGAACACAGTACTCTTATTTTATTTTTTATGTGGTGCTGAGGATTAAACCCAGTGCCTTGCACGCATGTGAAAGGTGAGCGCTCTACCGTTGAGCCACAATCCCAGCCCCAGCGCCTTGCTTTTGTTGAGGCTGGCTTTGAACTTGGGATACTCCTGCCTCAACCACCTGCCCTCCCCACCCCAGCTGCTGGGATTACAGGAGTGAGTCACCAGCTCTAGCCCATTCATTTTAACATTTGCATTAGTTTATCATTTAGATTTGTACCATTACCAGACCCATTTTGATAAATATATGGGTTATATCTAAAATTTCACTCTTATGAATGGTATACATACATGTTATTTTTTATATGTACATATACACGGTTTCAGAGTCTTTTAGAAGAGGAAATGATAGAGCAAAGGATATAAAGATTTTGTTTTAAAAGATATTTCCAGTCAGATGCAGTGGTGGACACCTGTAATCCCAGCTATTGGAAGGCTGAGGTAGGAGAATCACAAGTTTGAGGGCAGTGTGGGCAACTTAGTGAAACCCTGTCTCCAAATAAAAAATAAAAAAGGCTGGTAGATGTAGCTCAATGATAAAGCACTTCTAGGTTTAATCCTCTGTACCAAGGGAGTAAAATAAAAGATCAACACCCAAACAACCTTGTTCCATTTTGTTGTCCTATCAACAGTTTATATGAATGCCCATTTCCCTATATCCTTACCAAAAATGAGTATTATCATTTCAAAAATCTTTCCAACCTATAAATCTGAATATCTTTTCTTGTCCTCATTGGGTATTTGTATTCTTTTGTGAATTACCTATTTATATCCTTTGCTTTTGTTGTTGTTGGAGTATAACTTTGGTCTATAAATTTTTGGGGGGGGCAATACTGATTAGCTTGATTAAAAAAAAAAGAAAAGGTCTGGAAGTTTTTGTACCAAATTGCTGATAGTGTTTATTTCCAAGGCGTGAGGTTATAGAAAATGAGGGGAGACTTTAACTTTTATTTTACATTATCCTTATTTTTGAATTTTTACAAGGTATTTGCTTTCTTTCTTTCTTTTTTCTTTTTTTAGGTTCTGAGGATTGAACCCAGGGCTTCACATGTGATGTCAGGCAAGTGATCTGCCACTAAGCTACATCCCCAGTCCAGGGACTTCTGTAATTAATAATAATAATACACAAAGGAAAACAAAAAAATAAATGTTTGATCTAGATCTCTATTGGGTGGAAATTTATGTTGGGTATAAGTTTTTATTAACCACAAGTTATTTTTTGGTTTATATGCAAAAAACACACCACATTTATTGAATGCCTCCTATTTGGCTGGCACTGCCCAAGGCACTTTCCCAGGTGCTCCATCCTAATCCTCACAACAGCCCTATGAGGTAGGAACTGGCCCCATTTTCCAGAGTCCTGAGAGGGTAGATTATTGCCAGATATTCTTCTACTTGCCACGTGTCTTCAATGACTAGCGATTCACTACCAAGAGCTCTTCTTGGCCAGGAGTTCCTTCTGGTGGCTCTATGATTCAAAAAATACTAGAATTTTCCCCTTATAAGAATGAAAGGGGAGGTGGGATAAGAATGACGGAAAGAGAATCAGTGAGTCTCTCCCTTTGAAGCACCATTTGAGTTTGCTTTGGTCACTTATACACAGGTAGGTGGGACAGGGTTGGTGGGAGAAGAGGCAAGGTGGTTATAAATCTTCTCGCTTCTGCAGGATGAGCTTCCTCACCAGTTCCATGATCTGAGGCCTGATCTCCTCCACTGACACAGTTGGGTCCCAAGCCCCTACTACCTTTCCATCTGGGGCCACCAGATACTTCCAGAAGTTCCAGGTGGGCTCCTTCCCAGAAGTTTCTAGAGAAAAAGGAAGAAGGTGAACAAAATGTACTTCTTTGTGTATCCTCTCCTGGAATTCCACTGGCTAGCTGGATAACCAGGGGTCCCTTTGCCTTCCTAACCCTCAACCTCCTGGGTCTGGTTGCATCAGAATCAATGGAAGGTTTGGGGGCACTGATTCAGTAGATCTCAGGCTTACGCAATTTTAACATCTCCTTTGGTGCTTCTAAAAGCAAGGTCATATTTGACCTATGATCATAGGAACTGGAAAGAACTAACAAAAACACACAGAAGAAAAGCAAACATTGGAATTGACTGGAGAAGCAAAACATAAACCAGCCTTGGTAAAGGACATTTTGTTTGCTTTACTATTGCTGCTTATTTACTCCTACAGGTAAGTAGGTAGTGGGGTTATTATGGTGAAAGATACAAAGAAACCAGAAGTGTGGAATAAAAGAAAGCAAAAATGGAACCCCCAAAGGAGGAAAAAGGCCTGAGGGAAGAAACAGGTTCATAATGACAAGCTTGGTCCATGACCCCATTTTGTGGCTCTGAGGTTTCTAGGGATAGAGAAGGGATATACTCTGAAACATTCACATCTGGTAGTTTAGCTCAGAAGGTTTCCCTTCCATGGTCTACAGACTTTGCCTCTGGCTCAGGGCTGGAAATGTCTGTCAGCCATCTTGGTCAGCCTTCTCCAAGTATGTGGTGTCCCTTGTGTGTGCCCTGGTTTCTTCTCTTCAATCCATAAACTCAACTAATCCACATGGACTAAAGTGTGAGGGCCAATCTCCTTCTAGGAGCCTATTTATGTGAAAATAGAAACCCAGAGAAGTCCTTAGGAGTCACCCTGAGGAAGAACTGCAAGGCACTAGGTATGGAGATATTCTTAGGCAGGAATCCCCCCCAGGTTGGCCCTCCTTACTTTACTTAATGATTAGTACTGGAATAAAATATCAATCCACCTGAGAGGGTCAGGAAGGGAAAGGGGCCCCAGATTACCCAGCTAGCCAGTGGCTTCTGCTGCCCAGGGAGCCATGGCTTCAGCCACCTGAGGGAAGGTGAGGGCAAGAAGGGATAGGACTCACCAGTTAAGTACTTGAAGGCAGGGTGGGCACCAGTGCCAGTGACTGCAATCTTGCTAAACATGGGGAAAGAGACACTATAGGTGTGACGAACAAAGCTCTCAATCTCTCCATTGCTGTCTGGCTCTTGTTGGCCAAACTGGTTGCAGGGAAAGGCAAGCACATTGAAGTGATGGGGACCCAGGTCCCGCTGCAGCTGCTGCAGGGCTCGATAGTGCTGGTCTGTGAAGCCACACTCACTAGCCACATTCACCACTAGGGACACCTGGATGGCAAAAAGAAAACAAAACAAAGTTCATGCATACACACAACTCAGTGAAAGGAATGCACTTAGACTCGCCCCAACATGCTCACATATGAGACTCCCCCAACAATTAATGTCCCCTCATATATGCAAGAATACTATGGAGTGGGGGGTTGGAACTCAGTGGTAGAGTGTGTGTCTAGAATGTGTGCAGCTTTAAATTTGATCCTCAGCACCACAAACAAAAACAAAAACCCCACTATGTACATTTGTATCCCATTTTGTCCCCTCCCCTCCACAAAACACAAACCTTTTTCTTTGATCACTAGACTAATCCCTAATTTTATTAAAAGCTTAGGCAATAAATATGTACACAGTATACATATTTATGTGTATGTATCTCACATATACATGTACATAAGCACACACAGGCATATAAGAAACAAGCATGCATGAGTTTTACAGATATGTGTATGCACAGATGAACATGTGTGGGTATAAGTACACAATACATATAAATGGGTTCACACATGCCCTACCATAAAAACATATATTAGCAAATAGTGCACATACTCACAAATACAGCACAAAGTCACACACACACTGGTGAGCACAATTGGGAGGTGATGTGGGAGAGTAGAAAGGCACACCTGGGTTCAATTTTTGGCTCAGTCAGCTAGCATTCAACAGTCTACACTGTAGTTGCCTGCATGATTTGGCTTCTCTTCTAGAATGGAAACCTGCTGAGGACAGGAGCTAAATCCACTTCATCTCTGGGTTGGCGTATGAAAAAGCCTCAGTAAGTGTTTGCAGAATAAGTAAGTGTGCACACACACATAAACACCTGAATGGTACAGAGACAGATAAACGTTTCCTGGATAAAAAGACCGTTGGAGGGCTGAGGTTGTGGCTCAGTGGTAGAGGGCTCTCCTAGCACATGAGAGGCACTGGATTGGATCCTCAACACCACATAAAAATAAATAAATAAATAAATAAATAAAGATATTGTGTCCATCTACAACTTGAAAAAATATTTTTAAAAAAGACCCCTGGAGGGCTGGGGTTGTAGCTCAAGTGGTACAGCATTTGCCTCCCATGTGTGAGGCACTGGGTTCGATTCTCAGTACTACATATAAATAAATAAAGAATAAAAGGCCCATGGACAACTAAAAAAAATAGAACCCTGGATCCCAGGGCAATCCCATTTTTATCCCCTCCCCTCCAGGGAACAAATACATCTTTCTTTGATCACTAAATGTGTCAGTCAGCTTTTTCACTGCTGTGACCTAACAAGAACAATTTTAGAGGAGGAAAAGTGTATTTGGAGCTTACAGTTTCAGAGGTCTCTATCCATAGATAACTGGCTCTGTTGCTCCAGACTGGAGGTGAGGCAGAACTTCATGGTGGAAGGGTGTAGCAGAGGAAAGCAGATCTGGAGATGGCACCAGGAAGCAAAGAAACTACTCCACTCACCAGAGACAAAATATATCCCCCAAGGTCATGTTCCCAGTAATTTATCTCTTTCAGCCACACCCTACCTGCCTACAAGTCACCACCCTGTTAATCCATTCAAGTGGATTAATGCACTGATTAGGTTAAGGCTCTCCTAACTCAATTTCACCTCTAAACTTCTTGCACTGTCTCACACTTAAGCTTTTGGGGGACACCTCATATTTAAACCCTAATAATGACTAATCCCTATTTTTATTAAATGCTTAGGCAATAAATATTAAAGCTGGGTAACTGGAGATTCAACCCAGAGCCTCGCACATGCTAGGCAAGTACTCTAAACTACATCCCCAGCCCCCACTGGCTGCTTTTTCAGAAGAGCTTGGATTATACCAGCTAGCCCCATAAAGCGGGTCCCCTCCCAGGGGGCAGTCTGGAGCACTGGATAAGCACAGGCACAAATTGCTCAGGCTAGATAGGGTTTCTCAACCTCAGCACTATTGGCATTGTGGGCCAGATAATCCTTTGTAGTGGGGTGGGAGGGGCGTTCTGTTCATTGTAAAATGTTTGATAATATCCCTGGCCTCCACTTAATAGATGCCTAGTCTTGACCATCAAAAATATTTCCTTACTATGCAAAATGTTCTCGTGGGAAGCAAAATCACCCCCAGTTGAAACCACTGGTCTAAATGACTGAAACACTGAGCAATAACTCTCTCCCTTGCTTCCACCAAATGAGGAAGGACCAATTCCCTGGGACCATAAATTATATGAACCCTCATTTGAGATCAACACAGGTTATACTCTACCTGGAATGGTGAGAAACTGGGACTCTTGAACTCCCTTCCTCAGTTAGGAGTTTCCCACATTCTTTCCTGATGGATCCCATTTGGGATGAGGGTATTAAAGGTTGCTTTTTTAAAAATATTTTTTTAGCTGTAGATGGACAAAATACCTTTATTTTTATTTATTTATTTTTATATGGTGCTGAGGATCGAACCCAGTGCCTCATGCATGCAAGGCAAGCGCTCTACCACTGAGCTACAACCCAGCCCAGGTTGCTTATTTTTAACCCATACCATGTGTGTCTGCTACTCTTTTGGAAGTGGCAGTTTCTAGTTTGATGACCTGAAACCAAAAAGCTAAATCTTCAGAGACCAAAACACAGACAAACACACCCAAATACACAGATAATTTACATATGTATATATAAGCACAAGTACAGACTCAGATATATACATAGAAGCAAGCAAACAAATAAACCATTCATACACATATACAGTTAGGCCTTCAGGTACATAATCCCACACAGGAAGCAAGCACATTCCCAAGAAGTCATTCATCCATAGTCAACACTGGTCTAAATAACTGTGGCACAGTTAGCCTGAGGGCATAAACCATGTTACTCTTGCTCATGGACACTACCAGGGCTGGATTTGGTGCCAGGTATGCAGTAGGAGCCAGTAAATGTTTGCAGATGAATGAATGAGCATATTGCCCAAACAGCAACATGTGAGGATAATGCATAATACCATTTACAGTTTTACCGGACTGATGGTTCCCTGGTATCCCTCTAAATTTAGCAATTAAGGGCATGGACTCTGAAATTGGACTGCCTAGGTTCAATTTCTAACTCTATGCCTTAGAAGCCATGAACTCTGGCTCTATTTTGGTCTCAGCCGTTATAACTACTTTAAATTATCTTGTTCATTTCTCAGTTCCTTGTTTGTAGTCTCTTTCTTCCCCATATCAACTCTAATGAAGCAGAAACTTGCCTGTTTTGTTTGCCCAGTAAACTCCAGAAGCTGGCCTACTACCTAGTACCTAGTAGGTACTGAATAATACACAATGAATAAATTAGTAGCAGAGCTGGTCTGGTGCCAAATCAGGGAAGCTGTGAGCTGTACTGGAGAGATGGGGAGGCCTGAACAGGAATGGGCAATGGTCTTATCTGCTCTTGTCTCCTGGATGAGATTTCTGCTGAGATCCACCAGTACAGGTACAGAGCACTCTACAGTTTACAAAGTGCTTCCACACTTTCATTGCATCTAAAACTTAATAGCACCTTGTAGGGCAGTCAAGACAGGGGCTACTGCCTCCAGGACCTTCAGCATACTTGAGAATTTCAAGGCTTATAGAGTACTTTTGTTATTAAAAATAGTCTTGTTCTCCGTCCAAACATGAATGATGGGACCACATGTTCATTAGAGTCCAATTTCCATTTTTCCACACCAGGACCCCCAGGCCCATCATGAGGCAGACTTAGGGGTTCTTGTTCAACACGGTATAATGTCTTCACCTCTGGGTAGTCTTCAAAGACCACTTGACCCCTTAGATTGCCTCTTTTACCATTCTCAGCCTCTGACTTAAACTCAGGCACAACTGCTTGAAAGCCTCCCCACCCCTCCCCAACCCTTCTTGCTGTTTGCTAAGGAGTTCTGACTTGGGCAGTTCTCTTTGTTTGGAATGCTCTTCTCAGTCTAGATAAAATCCACTTTTTTTTTTTTTTTTTTTTTTTGCGGCGGGTTGGGACCAGAAGTTGAACCCAGGGGCACTTAACTACTGAGCTACATCCCTAGTCCTTTTGATTTTTAAGTTTGAGGCAGGGTCTCACTAAGTTGCTTAGGGCCTCCCTAAATTGCTGAGGCTGAACTCAAACTTTGGATCCTCTTGCCTCAGACTCCCGAGTCGCTGGGATTACAGGTGTGTGCTACCACACCCGCTTTAAAGTCCACTCTTATTTCAAAGATTCAATCAACACACATTTCTTCTCTTAAGTCATCTTTAAGCCAAGATTCCCTCTTAGTAAAGAGAGGCGAATTCGCACAGGATTAGTATCTCAACCTAAACTGCCTTCTGGGAAGGCCTACAGCCTAACACAAATGGAGCGGGTAGATGGGGTTCCCTTCCAGGCTAGGTCGATTTTTAGTGCTGCGCAGCCTTGTGCAAATGCCTTTCCTCTCTGGACAGCGGGTTCTCGTAAGGATCCCGTGCATTTTAAATAACGCCCTTTGCACTGCACGTTCATCTTCACAGTGTTCTGTTAGATTGTGCATCAGCAACTCCCTCTCTGGAAGCAGAAACTGGGGTTGGGAGAGGCAAAGGCGGTACGATGCTAGGGTTACTTTTTCCACTCGCAAGAAATAAAGCCTGGGCCGAGGCACCCACCTTCCTAAGGAGGTTGCGACTCGGGTACCCTAAGGCAGTGGGTGCGCAGGCGGCGCGGCTTTCAGTGCGCGCCAGGGCCGTGCCACGTAGTTGCGGGACACTGAGGGCAAAGGGTCTGGGGGCGGCGCAGCGCCTGGGCCGGGGGAATGCCCGAGTCGAGGTGAGAAGTCGGCGCCCTGGAGCGGAGCCACCGGGCCCCCACCCCCGCCCCCGCGCGCAGGTCGTGGGTCGCCCCATCAGGCCCTGCCAGGGCGGCGCCCAGGCCCCGCGTCCCCCGCTCACTCACCGAGCCGCGGTACTTTTCCAGCGACACCAGCTTGCCCCGGATGTTGACCACCTTGAAGTCATAGAAGTCCTGCTCCCGCTGCGCGCAGGCCGCGGCCCACAGGAGCAGCCACGCCGCCGCCACGGCAGCCACCATGACTCGCTTCCGAGGTGGCGGCTTTGCGAGGGCCAAGACGAGGCGGGGGACCCGGCGATGGGGGGCGGGAAGAGGCGGCCCGCCAGGCAGGACGCGCCCCTTCCCGTTCTCTGCAGGCGTCTGCGCGCGGAACTCAGGACCTCAGTTTCCCTAGCTGTCCTGAGGGCGCAGCCGGCCCCGATCCCCGAGCCGTGGTTTCAGGATTCTGACCCCTGAGACTAGAATTCGCTTTAGTGAGCCTCCCTCTTGTTCCAGGATTGGGAAGAAAAGGAGACCAAAAAAAAACTGGGTCTGAGAGCTTAACTTCTCATTAGTGCCTGACCTTAGGCTGATCACTCCATCCCTTCAGGCCTCCTATTTAGTTTCTCTACTTTTTTGGTAAAGCTAGCCTCCGTTTCTGATCCACATAGTCAGTGTGGAATGGGAGTGCTGTTCTGTAATAGAAGAGTGGATGTGAAATACTTTCACAACTGAATGATGCCTACAGACTTTAGGTAAATGAACTAATGTTCCCTGAAACTGACAGCAGAGAGAGCCTGTTGCAGGTTGGATTCCTAGGAAGCAGATCTGAGGTGGAGATTGGAGAGTGCAGAGGCTTTCAAAGGGAGCACCCTTGGGATCAACACCTGTGGAAGGAGTTGCAGAAGGAGAGCTCCATTCAGGCCTGAGGACAGTCTTGGCTCACCCAACAGGAACTCTGAAGTTGGAACGCCCATCAGAATTGTATGCGGATGAGTTTAGAGAGCCAGGCCCTTATATCCTTGCCTTTATCCATCACTGGGTGTAGGACTGGCTGGGAAGAGGCAAAACCGGGAGCCAAGATAGTACTAACCTTGGAGGGGCTGAGCTGACAGGTAAGGGCTTCATGTTAAATAGTACTCCCAGCAGCTGGTGTCCCAAGTCTTTAATGACAGGGATCTGGGCAGCACAATGCGGTGTTTCCAAGGCGCAGAAAACCTCAATGGCACTCACAAAGGGCCAAGCCCAGGGTTGGGTGCTGACCCTATGTTACTCCTCTAGGAACTCACAGGCTAAAGTAAGAGAAGCCAGGTAAACTGGAGATTTAGTATAATGTGTTATGGGCTAAGCATTCCTGGAGTCGCTCAACAAACACTTCCTGAATACCTGTTTTGTGCCAAGCTCTAGGTACTTCTTATGCAGCGAGACATTAAATAATTTATAATTGGCTCCATACTACTATTATGAAAAGTACCACCTAAAACTAGCTTGGGAGCTAAGCAGGGCTTCACAGGAGAAGGGAGGTTTGAGCTGAACTTTAATGAATGAGTAGAAATTAAAGCAAAGCAGGGAAGAACATGCAAAGGTCCTAAATGGGAGAGAAATATGTTGCAAACAAGGATGGCTGGTTTGAGTTTGACTGGAGCAGAGAGAACAAAGGATGTAAGGGGAGCAGGGGAGGGGGAGTGGCAAGCAGGAGTGATATTGCACAGAGCCTGGTGGGCCACAGTTAAGATTATGGTCTTTGACCCAAGAAATAAAGGTTGTTTCTTTCTTTCTTTTTTCTTTTTTTTTTTTTTTTTTCTGTAGAAAGACGCCTCTGGCTCCCCTGTGGCGAGTGGACCGGAAAGGGCAAGAGCAGATGTGGTCCAGATGCTGGTATAGAGGAAGCTCTAGGGATTTGAGGCCCAGAGGTGGTGACAGAAGAATCATGCCTTGACAGAGAAGCGGGAATTCTGGAATCTGGAAAGGCAGAAAGCAAAGATGTGGCTGGAGGAGTATTGTCTGTGAAGGCTCAGAGCCTGAGAGAAGGGCTTGGCTATTTGGGGTGAGAAGGGGTGTGGGGCAGGTGAGGCTGCAGAGGTCATAAGGGGCCAGAGGGGAAGGGCCTTGAATGCCAAGTCACTCTCCAGGCAGTGGCCAGCAAAAGGTTTGAAATGAAGTAAAAGTTCAAACAGTTTAAAAGAACTGAAACCAGGTACTCAGATTTCGGAGTGTGAGGTCTTTCTGCACCATCACCAAGGTGGCCTCGCTCTTCAGGAGCAGACTACATTGTTCGAAGAGGTGGAAAACAGGAAAAAGGGTGCTTCAGGAAGGGTCAAGGCATAAATAAAGTGCTCCTGGTCTTCCTACTCCTTTTCCCCATCTCTAGTGGGAGCCCACAAGCCTGTGATGGATATACCTATTAAACAGATCCCTTTCCCCTACTCTTCTCCTGTGAAATCATTGTTCTCCCTTCCTGCCATCTGTACCTTTCACTTAGCTCTTCCTTTGTGTCCCAATAACCAGGATTTCTCAAGCTCTGCTACATATAACTAGTTGTTTTGCAAGCTTGGCCAACCTATTTGATGTTAAAATCCAGATAGCCAGGCATTCCAACTAAATGTGGCTAATGTTAATAGCAAAATGTTCCTCGATTCTGCTTTTTTCTCCGGCCCTTCTCTCCTCTCCTATTCATACTTCAGCTCAGATATCATCCTCTGCTATCTCACTTAAACAATCCAGCCTCTCTGCTGCTTTTGCACCCACTACATGTTTCTGTTAATTGAAGATATTTTTACAGTTGTCAATTTCTTTCTTTTTTAAATACCTTTATTTCATTTATTTATTTTTATGTAGTGCTAAGGCTCGAACCCAGGGCCTCACACATGCTAGGCAAGCGCTCTACTGCTGAGCCACAACCCCAGCCACAGTTGTCAGTTTCTATGGCTTTTCTCCCACCAGGCTGGGATAATCTTGAGGGCAGGCAGGCCTTGGTCATAATCATTTGTGTCCTCCCGGGATACACTTTCTTAAACCTTCTGGTGACTTCTATTACTTGTCTATGCTAGAATCTGATATGAGATGCTATTGATTATTGTCAACAAGGTTTATTTTGTAATTTTATTTTTAATCCACTATGAAATTTTGGTGTTTTTTTGAAGGAACACAATTATTTCCAGGTGACTCATCATCTACACAAATGGGAGATCCACAGACATAGACAAAAATGTACATGCAGTTCTCAGCTGGGTACCTGGAATGGTTGGGGACTCACTCTTGGGACCCCACTACTCTTCTTTCTTAGAATAAACTCAAAGACAATCTATGGATATATAAGAGGTTGAGGTGGGAGAATCACATGTTCAAGGCTAGCCTGGGCAACTTAGGGAGACACTGTCTCAAAATAAAAAATTGAAAGGGCTGGGGATGTACCTTAGTAATAGAGTACCCCTGAGTTCAATTCCTAGACTCTCTCTCTCTCTCTCTCTCTCTCTCTCTCTCTCTCTCTCTCTCCCACACACACACACACACACACACACACACACACTCCTAAAACTTATCATTGGATGCTATGGTATATGCCTGTAATCTCAGTTACTCAGGAGGCTGAGACAGGAAGATTGGTTGAGCCCAGGAGTTCAGGCCCAACCTGGGCAACATAGTGAGACCTTGTCTCTGAAACAAACAACCCCCGCCAAAACATATGGTAATTTAAATGATGTTAAGCAGGGGAGATGGATAGTGTGATGATTGGATGGGGAGGGATTGCAATTTCAGTCAATTTTTAAGTGAAGTCTCACTGAGAAAGTGGATTTGAGTAAAGGAAGTAAGAGAGCTAATAAATGGGGAAAGTGGAGGAAAAGAATTCCAGGTTGAGGAAGTAGCAAGTACAAAGACCCTGAGGTGAGGGCATGCATGATTTGTTTTAAGAAAAGCAGAATATAGTATGTCAAAAATACATTCTCCTGTCATGTATAATCAAAAAGAACAAATAAAAAATTTAAAAAATAAGAAAAGCAAAGAGACTAATGTGGGTGTGGAGTGACATCAAAGAGATAATGGAATGGATGGGCAGATTCTTAAGGGTCTTATAGACCACTGTAAAGATTTTGCCTTTGACTCTGAACCAAATGGGAAGTTACTGAAGATTGTAATGACATTTATATTCCTCCCCTTTCCCTCCAGTACTGGGGATCAAACCCAGGGCCTCATACAGGTTAGGCATGGGCTCTACCACTGAGCTACATCCCCAGCCTAGGAAACAACATTTCTGATTTGTGTTTTAGCAGACTTTTTTCTAATTGCAGTACTGGAAAGAGCAGACTACTCAGGAGGCTATTCAGTAATCCACATGAGGGGTCATGTGGATAGTAGGGTAGTGGAAAGCAGTCAGATTTTCTGAATATATTTTGAAAGTAGAGTCAAAAGGATTTCCTAATAGGGCTGGGGATGTGGCTCAAGCGGTAGCGCGCTCGCCTGGCATGCGTGCGGCCCGGGTTCGATCCTCAGCACCACATACCAACAAAGATGTTGTGTCCGCTGAGAACTAAAAAATAATAAAAAAAAAATGTTGGAAATTCTCTCTCTCTCTCTCTCTCTCTCTCTCTCTCTCCCCCCCCCTCTCCTCTCCTCTCACTCTCTCTAAAAAAAAAAAAAAAAAAAAAAGGATTTCCTAATAGGTTGGATATAAAGTATAAGAGAAAGAGTAACAGATGAACTTAAGGTTTTTTTTTTTTGGGGGGGGTGGTATTGGGGATTGAACTTTGGGATGCTCAACCATTGAACTACAACCCTAGCCCTTTTTTTATGTTTTATTAGAGACGGGATTTCTCTGAGTTGCTAAGTGCCTCGATAAGTTTGTTGTGGTGTGAACTGATAAATACAATTAATAAGAATGTAAGTTATAGGTTATATATTAGTAAGAATATAGATTATAAATATAAGATTTTGATAAGTGAGGTAAGACAATTATAAAGCAAGAACTCTCATAGACAGGCCTAAGACTCCATTTTGCTGCCTTCTATTAAAAAAAACTGTTACAAGAGCTATTTCTGAGAAACTGAAATAAAAGCTGTTTTGTAATATTGTTTTCTGTACTTTGTACCCCACAAAATGTACTCAACCCAGGATATGGTGATCTTGGTGACCTAAGATTTTGAAGTAGATTCTCACCCCCACTAACCACCTGCTTGAACTCAGGATACGGTTGTCTAACACCTGCTCAAACCCAAGATTCGATTGTCTTGAGTTGCTGTGCTAATTGGTGTCTTAGCTTCTGTGATTTGCTTGCTTGCATGATGCTAAGGAAAGTTCCTGAGCTGTGGTTTTTGTCCTCAAATTCCCAAGACACAGGCCAGGAAACTGCTGTTCTCCCACAGAACTTCAGTTTCTACAGGTGGGTGACAGTCCCTGGCCAGGTAAATAAAGCTCTCTTTGATTTGAATTTGGACTTAAGAGTATTTTCTGAAGAAGCTCCTCATAACAAGTTGATGAGACTAGCTTTGAACGGGCATCCTCCTGCCTCAGCCTCCTGAGCTACTGGGATTACAGGCATGCACCACCAGGCCCAGCTACCTTAAGCTTTTTGGATAAAGCAATTGGAAGGATAAAATTGCCACTGAAACAGTGCAGTGGCACATGCCTGTAATCCCAGCAGTTCAGGAGGCAGAGGCAGGAGGATCATGAGTTCA